CAAGATTTATTTGCTGGAACCGCGCAATATATACTTGAGCAGTATCTGACAAAAAGAGAAAAGACAAATGAGAGAAAACAGAATTCACCTAACAACCGAGTAATCATCGTGATAACACGCCACAAACAACACGTGTGCCAATGTTCTAAAAAAAAAAATCTATTTCTTTTTGTGATAGAGCAATCGAAGGCCTGCTGACACATGCACTGCCCAGCCTTTCTATTTTTGCAGCCTCATAAATTTCGCGTATCATCTGGTCCCGATGACGCCTAATGACGGTACAATGCTGAAAGTTGGGGTCACAACCGTCATGGCGCGATATCACAATGATTACTCGGTTGTTAGGTGAATTCTGTTTTCATTGATTTGTCTTTTCTCTTTTTGTCAGATACTGCTCAAGTATATATTGTGTGGTTCCGGGTTTTTAATGTACATTTTGTCATTATCTTTAGTGCTATATTCATTATTGTAACTGTTGCTGTATTTTATACTGCTCAACTTTTTGTTCAATGTTTACATATTTCACAGTTATCTATTCTGATGACCTACTACTTCAATGATTTTTCATAAACTGATAAGTTCCTGTTCCTAATTCTAATAGCAATTACCTTTGTAAATAGCTTGTATACGACAAGAAGTAAGCTGATCGGCCTGTAGTTCTTCAAGTCCTTGACATCTCCTTTCTTATGTATTAAGATGATGTTAGCATTCTTCCAAGATTCTGTAACCTTCTCTGTCGGGAAACGATTCATGAACAGGGTGGCTAGTTCAATCATTGTATTTCAATCAACCAAAAAAAAAAGCAGGATTTCGAACAGGCTACTCAACAATCGACCCCATTCAAACTATCAATCAGGTAATATAGAAATGCTCAGAATATAGCCAACCACTATACATGGCTTTAATAGATTATGAGAAAACGTTTATGTCAGTAGAAATATCAGCAGTCATGCGGACACTGTGAAATCAGGGCGTTGATCAAGCATATATAAAAATCATGGAAGAAATTTGCACAGGATCAACTGCCACCATGATGCTTCATAAAAAAACCAACAGAATACCAATAAAGAAGGGTGTAAGTCAGGGGAATAAAATCTCCCCAATGCTATTTACCACTGCTTACAAGAAGTTCTCAGAGGCCTAGAATGGGAAAAGTTAGGGATACGAGTTAATGGAGAGTACCTTAGCAACATGCGCTTCGGAGATGACATTGCACTGCTGAGTAACTCAGGGGACGAATCGCAATTCATGATTAATGATGGCATATTCGGTTGGGTGTTTACGAGCACTCTGAAAAGTGGATGCGCCTTCGGTTGGTGAAATTCGAGCGCTCGGACTACCTTCGGTTGGTTCTTTCAGAGGGTCAGCGTCTGATTCAGAGTGCTCCCAACGGCTCTAACTTCGAAGTGAGAGTGTAGCGTGATCTGACCGGGAAGGCGTATCACGTGACAGAAGCCGGCCAATAAAGTGGCTGCCGGCAGGTGAACAAGGTGAGGAGTGCGAGCGTCCATTTCAGAAGGGGGCTTCGCTGGGCGCGTAATACTTCGTGTATTTGCATTGTTGGTGGCATTTTTGGGCATGTGTGGGGCGAATTCACATCTACAAAGCCATATCTATACCATGTCACTAACAAGGCGGCTAACGAAGGCGTAAAAAGCTTCCATGCTGTCGATACAGAAGCTTGCAGACAGCCTCGTTCTTTGCCTTGAAGATAGCAGCTCGGACGAGGACGATCGCCTGATTTATGTGCTGAGCTCGGAAGGCTTTCGCTACATCCAGACATGTCAGAGAGAGAGAAAATATAAAAAATTTCAGACATATCAGAGATATCCACTGAATTGATTGGCACCATTTGTTGAAGCGGCGCAGGCACAGCACTGTTTACCCGGCAGCTTCCCGCGCTGGCTGCACGGTGGCGCTATAGGCACGCTGCTCTGGGCACTCTTAAGATCGCCGATGTATTCGGTTGGTACCCTGTCTCTGGCACTCCGATTGTGAGCTGCCTCTGCATCTGGCGACTCTGAGCCAGAGGACCAGAGCGGCCAACCGAATACTCCATGAATTAGAAGAGAAGAGCAAAAGCGTAGGTACTAAAATTATTCTGCCAAAAACGAAAGTAATGTACAACAACTTCGAAAAAGAATAGCTCTTCGAGATAGGTAGTCATGCACTTGAAGTTGTAAAAGACTACGTCTAGTTATGACAGGTAATAACCGGGGAGCCGAACCACGAGATTGAATTAGAAGAATAAGAATGGGGTGTAGCACATTTGGCAAGCACTCTCAAATCATGACAGGTAGATTGCCACTATCCCTCAAGAAGGTATATAGCAGCTGCATCTTTCCGGCACTTAGCTACGAAGCAGAAACATGGTGACTTACAAAGGGGGTTCAGCTTAAATTGAGGACGACGCAGTGACTAATGGAAAGGGAAATGGTAGGTGTAATGTTAAGAGACAAAAAGAGAGCAGATTGTATCAGGGAACAAACTGGGGTTAAGAATATCATAGTTGAAATCAAGAAGAAATGAACATGAGCGACGGATGTAGCGCGCAGGCAGGACCGCTGATAATTAAGGGTAATTGACTAGATTCCGAGAGAAGGAAAGCGGGTCAAGGGGAGACAGAAAGTTAGGTGGTAGATGAGATTAGGAAGTTTGCAGGTGTAAAGTGGCAGAAGCAAGTACAGAACTGAGCTGACTAGCGGAACATGGGAGAGGCCTTTGGCCTGCAGTGGATGCAGTCAGGCTGATGATGATGTATTTGTTCATCTAGCATGTACATGTCAGGCGTCACATGTGCCTTGAAGTCAAGCCCTACCTTGTGTTATTGGTTTCCGGACCTTTGTCAAGCTGCAGACCGCAGATTTTAGTCCTGAAATTCATTCCAAATGTATTTGGAGAATTAAAGTATTTGAACTTGATTGCAATGTACAAGGTTTTGAAGATGAGCATCAGTGCCACAAATTACGATAACAGCAGCACAACTGTCCAGCTAATCTCTTTTTCAAGGTGACACAACCCGGTATTTTTAAAGGGCCCGTTAACAGGCTCCAACCTTTACTTTACACTCCCCCAAAGAAGCTCGGCAATTTGTAGAGTAGACTGCGGCGATCACGTTTTCGGAATATTACAGCGCTGCGCACAGCCTCCAATTGCCATGCTCCTTTCCTACACCTGACCACAGTCACCAAATTCACCGATCGGCAACTTGACATAGCACACAGCTCGTTGATTGGTCGAAACCAGTCACAAGGATAGGCTATGCCTTCCCTTTTCATGAGGGAGAAGAGTGGCGAAGCCACGCAAAAATTTAAAACCGGTTGAAACTGATGTTTTAATCCCTGTAACTTCCTTAATATAGCGCGGATTTGCAAAACTCTTGCAGCAGCATAATCACAAAACAAAAGTGAATATATTTCTCTTGATAACAATTTTCGGTCCTCTGAGTTGTTTACTGGCCCTTTAAATCCCTTGACTAGAATTTCGTCTTTAACTCGACACAGTATAGCACAGTGCCACCGCTCAACTGAGAATGATGCCACGCTTATGAAGTGTCACTGCAGATTACTGCCGATATGCAGTAACTCGTTTTGCCTTGAGATCCCATGAGCTTTCTCAAGTCAAGGTTCAGAGAAGGGATGTTCTGAAACACGCAAGACAGCATGCTCCCTTCAGTGCGCAGGCAGAATGGGAGAAGAGCAACAGATACCATATTGCACATGGGCCTCAATGCAACAAGAGCCATCCAGACTAACATGTATCAACCATTCTGAACTAATAATAATAATAATTTAAAAAGTTCAACATTGTGTGGATCAGAGTTTTAGCAGTGCGACACATTGGGCATTGGGCAATTTTATAAAAATGTATATAAATATGGCCACCGTTGCGGTCACTCACAATATCTCTCACTTAAATAATAAAAATAATATTGTGGGCTTTATGTTCCAAAATCACAATATGATTATGAGAGACACCGTAGTGGACAGCTCCAGAAATTTTGACCATTTGGTGATGCACCGAGTTCGTCCCTTAAAGGGGCCTTGAGCTTAGTCAGAAAACATTGCCGATTGGTAGTCGAGGCTCCCGAGAAAACGTGACCTAAATATTTTAGTGCAGCATATGGCCTGGAATTCGCAATAAATTCTGAAAGTAAGCTAAAAATTGCTTTCTCTTCTCTTGACCAATAATGATACAAGCTCAAAAATGACTTGTCGCAGCCATTGAATCAGCTATTGTTTGATTTGAGCATGGCGTGCTTGGTCATTACTCGGGCCACCACAACGGACTGCGACACGCTATTTTAAAACTCCCTATCGCTTCCTTGAGTTTTGAAAATGATTGTAGAGCCCAGTAAGTGTATTTAAAACGTGGTGGTAGAAGTAAGTACTAAAGAAAATATTTATGCGTATACTAAGCAACAACATTTTCGCTCTTTATTTTTCAATTTCCAACCAACGTGTCATTTAGTCTTTCAGATGGTGTTGACCTTTGAAGCAAAGGAAGTAGTGTCGCCCTACAATAGCACTTCTTGGGGCAACCCCAACCCTTCGAGCTCTATTACTGACCCTAAAGAGAGAGGGGGGAGGGCATTTGCTTGGGATTTGATGCTACTAAAACAACTAAATTCTAAACAAAAATTAACTTGAACATTTTCATGTCAGAAATGGTGCATTATCAAAGGCAACATGGCCAGAGGTGCACTTGGTGCTCATATTATTTAATGAGCAGCTTTCTAATTTTGTGGAAACAGCATTAATTTATGTGATGGCTCGGAACGAGGCTATCACTAGTAATGCAATACAGACTTGCAGACAGAATACTACATTTCTCTACGTTGCATATAACTACTGTCAACCTGAGATAATGTGAGCATATAAGCAATTAAATGACAGTGCACTCTAAGCTGCAGTGCGTGTGCATGCCATAACCTGCCAGCGTAATTTAAGCACCGTGGTGTGAGAACAAAGAAGCCCAACTCCCTGGTGGACTACACCGACCCATCAATGATAAGTGCATCCAAGGTTGTCTCGCCATCTTCATCCGGGCTGCCCCCATAGCCAACCGTGCCATCGCACTGATCCTTCTCGCACTGCGAGCAGCCCTGCTCCACGGCATCCAGCGCTGTCCCATTCATAATCGTGAGCACCTCCCATGCTCCAGGCAAGAAAAAATAAATGAAAATCATTGTCATGATCAACTTGAAACTTTCCTTAAGACAAATTTATGCACACATTTACCACAAAGATGAATATAGGAAGGAATAACGAACTTATGTGGCACATTTTAGATATTGTGCTAGCCGGAAGTGGTACCTCGCTCTACGTAAACGCGCATTATTCTCAATCATAAGATCGTTCGCAGTCAATATATATCGCATAGCTGAAATAACTATACGTTCATGTCAGCGTGCGCCCCCACTAGCTTAAGGCGTCTGAGCATTCATCATTGCTCCAAATGGGCAAATTTATTATAGCTGTAGAAATTTCACCTAAGTTTTCGCGCGGCGCTCACGCACCCTCACTTGAAAGTACTCGCAGTATTGTGAACACGAATTCAACATGCACAAGGAGCACGTTCATCATCTGCATACCTCGCAGTGTGGCGTTGGAGAACCCCCAAGTGTTCACGACAAGAGGGAACGCACTGCAGTAACGTTCCGACTGGTGAATTGAGAGCAGCGGGGGGCAATTTATCAAAAGAACTACTAGGCACTGCTGTAACACGCGGTCAGTTCCCATGGTGGCGATTGATTGCCTCTACACACCATGTAATAAACTGTCAGGTCCTGGCGTATGCTCGTTACTAGAGTTTCTTTTACAGTCTACACATCGTAGCAATCGTAGTGCGTGGCACCACGTTCAGCATCTTTATCACAGGTAGCACGTGGGCCGGGTGATAGAAGCACTCAACACAACAGCTGATATAGGAGTGATAGGCACTCCGACTAAGCTTCCAGCTTGCATGGTAGTACATGGACTGGAAGGACGCTTGGAAGGTCGACGACAATGAATGGAAAGCGAAACCACCCCAATTAAACACAGCATAACCATCCGAGATATCACTTACGCATAAACGAAACGAAACCGAAACTGATTTGAGCTTGGCTACTGCAATGGTGTAAGGGCCCCGGAAGTTCTAAAGTTCAAGTGCTCACCTGTAGGAGGCAAAAAAAACAACCATGGCGCGTTTTTGTTTTAAACGCCTAGAGTGGATTTACTAAACTCTCTCGCCACTTGCGCTATTGCTGGATAGATGAATGTGGCTATACCTTCTGGATCGGGTGGCGGCTAACGCCAGCTAGCCGTAATACTTAGTGAACTAACCACTAGATTTATCTCTTCTTTTTTTTTCCTTTAAATAGTAAAGTTGGACGGGTACTTTGCAGTGAAAGGTTTAATTTTCACTCGTGCCTTTACTTTAGCCACCAATCAGATAACCTCCTTCTAGTTAAGTCTACCCGCTTAAAGTATATTTAGCCCTCCCTGAATGAATGAATGAATGAATGAATGAATGAATGAATGAATATGGTTGTACCCTCTAGATCGGGCGGTGGCTAGCGCCCCCAAGCCGTAATACCTAATGAACCAAAAACTATATTTTTTTTCCTTAAAAAAAAGAGTTTGAGGATTCGTACTTTGCAGTGAAGAGTTTAATTTTCACTCGTGCTTTGACTTTAGCCACCAATCAGATAACCTCCTTCTAGTTAAGTCTACCCGCTTAAAGTTTATTTTGCCCTCCCGGTCCCTAAACCCCAGTGCTTTGAAAAACTCTGCGCCATCATCCTGAACTATAAGGTGAAGCCCTTTACAGAACATTATCAAATGTTCGGCAGTTTCTTCTTTTTCTCCACACGCACTGCATACTGTGTCTACCCCTTCGTATTTGGCCCGATATGTCTTGGTTCGCAGTACTCCCGTTCTGGCCTCAAACAGTAGAGAACTACCCCGAGTATTATCATAGATCCTTTCCTTGGCAATTTCCTGCTTAAACGTTCGATAGATCTCTAGTGCGGACTTCTTATCATGCCCATTCTCCACATGTCAAGTCTCCGTTTCCTTCACTTTCTTCTTAACCGATAGTTCTTTTTGGTTTGGCCACCTGCTGTTTTCTAAGTATTTACCAGTCAATTTCCTGGTTCGCTTCCTCCATTTTGTATCGACATTCTTCATGTACAAGTAGCTGAAAACCTTCCTAGCCCAACGCTCTTCCCCCATTTCTCTCAATCGCTTCTCAAATTTTATCTTGCTGCTAGCTTCCCTGCCCTCAAATGATGTCCATCCCATATCACCTTGTACTCCCTGATTTGGTGTATTCCCGTGAGATCCTAAGGCAAGTCTACCTATTCCACGTTGCTTAATTTCTATTCTTGCTTGAACTTCTGATCTCATGCACAAGACCCCATTGCCGAACGTCAGACCAGGAACCATGACCCCTTTCCATATTCCTCTCACAACATCATACCTATTGTAATTCCACAGTGCCCTGTTTTTCATTACCGCAGCATTCCTGTTACCTTTAGTCGACACGTATATTTCGTGTTCCATGCGGCGGTGAGGCTGGGCCTCCCCGTCCCAACGTGGGAGCGGCCCGCGATCCTACCCCTATAAAACGGGGGTGGAATCCTTCAGGACCCCAATAAAAGTTTTTCATCCATCATCCATCCATCCTTAGGTACCCGTCCCCATTGCTTATCCATACGCCCATACGCTAACGATCGCAGCGTCAGAGTGCCCTCTAGTTAATTTTGGGAAACTGATTTTGATACAACAGCCCAAAGGTACAGTTTCCGTGCTCTAATCTAAATGGGGCAGTGTCTGTGTCGTGGTCTGTGTACAGCACCTTTCCTTCCTCCGTGGTGTACAGTGTCTAAAAATATATATAGAAACACGGAGGATATAGAAATATATTTCTAGACACTGTAGCCTGTGTCATAGAGGAAGGAAAAACTGTTTTTCCAACTGATGTTCCTTCCTCCGTGGTCTGTATATTAACTCTATGGTGTGCCGTCTTGTTGTTGTTGTTGTTGCCGTCTTCACGGCAAGCGGTGGTCGCTTTTGCGATGACGCCACTGTTTCATACATACGTATGCATACGTATTAATTTCATACTTACATTCCTTTCTCCACGGTTACATCCAGTTGGCGGCACCATCGAATGGTGTTCCCAGCGCGCGTATTTCAAATTTGCGCTGTCGACCTCCGTGCAGTTTTTGAGTAAAATAGTTACATAACACCATTGGAATTAAAAGCATCTGTAAGATTCTATCGCAGAACAGGGACCCAGATACGTGAGAAAAAGTGAGATGAAAATGCCTAGTTACACGTGGAAAGTTATGACCAGTGTTTACTTGACGCGAGTTGCGCAGCGCAAGCACCCACCAACATCTCTAGAAGTGATCACAGTCGTATTCCACATGCAGCCGCCTTGTTCGATTAGAGGCACCGCACGCAACATATCACCGACTCAAAAACAACCCAGAAGCTACGCACGCCGGCACGCGCCACAATGCGCCCGGCAGAGGACACTGTTGAGACCGGGGTTTGCGGCACCGGAGATCCGGGATCAAAATGTCGAAGCAGGAGAAGGTTGAACTTTGTAGAGAGGGTTTATTTACGTTATTTACATGGCACGGGCTCTCTGGCCCGAAGCTCTAGATAGAGAAAGCTCTCTATTATATACGGCTGGCAGTGTGGGCGACACGGCAACAAAAAGCATTAAGCGAAAAATCAAAAAGGCGGAGAGGATTTATTGCATATTATCTGTGACGTCACTATCGGCGGTTGTTTAAACAGATGGTGCACATGTAAATCAAGTCATGAGACTCCCCCTCTCCCCATGCGTATGGCGGGGAAGAGAGTAAGCAAGAGTAGAGTAAGAATGTTTGATTAATATGTGGGGTTTGACGTTGCAAAACCACCATATGATTATGAGAGACGCCATAGTGGAGGGTTCCAGAAATTTAGACCACCTGAGGTTCTTTAGTGTGCACCCAAATCTGAGCACACAGGCCTCCAGCATATTCGCCTCCATCGAAAATGCAGCCTCTGCAGCCAGAATTTGATCCCTAGACCTGCGGGTTAGCAGCCGAGTACCTTAGCCAATAAACCACGGTGGTGGGGCAGTACAGTAAGAAGTACTCTAAATACACTAAGCGACAAGTACAATGACCATTTGGAGCAACGGCCTCTAGCTGCACCATTGAATGGACTAGGGTTCGAAAACGCTATATTGCGAATACCCACCTGATCGAAGAAGACATTGTCAATCGTTAATCTTTGTTAAGCGTAGACAGCGTAGTCCTTATCGGGGCGAAGTGGGTTTGACAGATCAAGGAAGGTTCCACTTACAGCGAGGAATGAGAAGTATATGCATGTTTTTGTACATTCATAATTACATTTTGGTTTTGCTTACCTTGCTGAACGAATTTCTTACTGTCAATGTCTGTGACTTCATGCCTATAGGAATGATTTTTAAGCCGCCTTAATGCAGTGGTAGCTTTTAGTAAACATTTTTTCACGTTACTGTGGGCATCCAATCATGCTTGCGATACAGAATAAGTTATTTTTTTTTTGTAAGATATGCTGCACGTTTGCAACACCATACAGCACACGTTATTTTTCGGGCAGACTTTCACTTGCACTGTGATTATAGATAGCAATGAAGTACTACAATCGTAGAGGTTTTATCGTGCAATCTGCGAGGGCATGGTGATCATTGATGAGAAATGTTCACTTAGTCTCAATCAAAAGTGCACGTGCGACCGGACTTCTCACATAAAACTACTCACATAGCTACTCACATAAAACTCGATTGCTGCGCACATGCGCTGAAACACTTAAAGACGTGCAAAAACGCGGTATGTTCCCATTTCTTTTTTCATAGCTCACTTCACTCGGCTCCCTGAAACGATAGCGTTGCGACAAGGTGTCTTCCGTTATTTGCAAGTGTGCAGCAGACTTTTTTTTTTACCTGAACAGATTCAGAACTGTACAGAATATTTAACCACACAGCATACGTGCATTCATGTTTCCAGCGCTTACACCAGCGTGAAGAGAAGCAGCCTCAAACCACACAAAATCTGAAGTGATCGGTTCACCAGTGATGAACAAATGAACTCTGGAGTTGCTCAGAGCACAGTACACCTCAATCAATTCCGACGATCTCCGACAAGAACTGCCAGTGCATGCAACACGAGTTTATTTACGCTCTACTATGCACCGTCCATGCCTGTTCATTGTCTACTTTGGGCATTCTGATGCGAGTCGCTGGAATTTCACTACTGCCATCACCTAATTCGTGTACATTCACACTTGTGGTATTTCATCACAATGCAATGGAAACTACCAACCTTCCGTATGGGCGCAATCACAAACGTGAGACAAGTCGTGCTCAGAGTATAAGATACTGGGCGAGCATGACCTTACCGGCACCTGAAGGGAAGCGGAGGAATTGTATACCCGCGAACCTTTCCGCCAGGCGAGAAACGAGCGTTAGTGTTTAAGGCCGAACTTAACCAGCCAAGATGTATCGTCGCTAACGTTCTCGTTTCTCGCATTCAGGGTCACTGCCCGAACATTGCTGAGCTCGTTGCTTCCTAGCAATGCGAAGTCACCCCCTTGAAATAGGCTGCCTGCACGCATTGCTTGGTAGTTCGTGTCTTGGGTCGATCAGCACCCTTCGCCCTTCTATGAGACTCGATGGTCACACCGAAACGCCGTACGGTATAACGCTTCATGATTATTTCCCGAAAAGTGACACTGCTCCCAGTGCACGCTTGACAACTGGCAAAAATGAGAATGCCGCTCATCACAGACAGGCAGCTTCATAGAAGTAAGGTGCCAGTGGCTGGGGTAGAAAAACAATTTATGCTTTCAGTATTTCTTGCCTTTTCTGGACTATGTAGTAGACCACTTCAATTAACGAGCGCATTAAAAGGCATCGGTACTCCTTGAAGATGTTTTCTTCGCTTATGCCACAGAATATTCCCGAATCTACCACTCTTCCCACTGCCAACAAGCTTACTGGCGTGTATACTCAAACATTATCTCAACTTTAGCGTTGTAAGGGAA